GACCATGTTGACAAAACCCGGAGGGATTTAACTCTGAAGATGGTATAAAAAAAAAAATGCTTACAACTCCAATCATGAATCCATATTTAGCATTCTGTCAATGAAATTCATTTATTTAATTGACCATAATCTTCTTTTTTTATTTGAATATGTAACAAATCCACAATCTTCTATTTTTTTTTAATATAAAAATATCTAAGTTTTCCATTCAGTAATTATAGGGGTTTTCCTCCTTAATTTGCACAAATATATGTAATATTTTAATATTAAAATAAAGAAATTAATTTCATATTCATTTTCAGTTTCAACGCACCAAACAACATGATTACTGGATCTCTTGATAAGTCTTATTCATATTGTGACCTCAAGAGATACATAAAGGATGACCAAAGAGATTGTACATGACAACATTCTCATAGTAAATGTGTTAGCGTTTCTCTTCCCACAACACAGAATGTGCATCTTTCTGTTTCACTCAATTTACATTGCATTGATTTGGTATTAGTATATAGAATGTAGAATATAGAACTGTTTGTAACCTGTTCATGTTTCTTCAAATACTGAATAAATTGACATTGTTTTGCCTCAATTGGTTTATTTCTTTGAAATAAAATTAGTTTCATGACGTCGGTATTGCATTTAAAATCCCCAAAAAATCAATGAAATGAACAGCCAAATCTCACAAAAGTATTTATGTGTTAAAAAACTATTGTTTTTACAAGATCCCCAATAAAAAATGTCTTTTTCACACCAATGTTTAAAAATAAAAATCTTATTATCAATTTTAATGAAGTTATTATACCAGATCGGCTGAGAAGTAACAGTGTCTGGGGTTGTGGGGAGTTCATCACCAGTGAACTCTGCCAATATAGTGAATATTTCTATCCAAAAGATATTTAAGAATTTGGAAATTTTCAACAGCCCTTCTTTTTTCATTTTGAAGACTTTATCTCCCCTATATGGTACACTTTTATCTCATATCAGTGTTTTTCAAGGTGAGGTATTTAATGAATCCAATATTCTTTTAATCCAGCACATTTTTAAGGCATGACAAAGAGATATAATGTGTGGTACACGTAAACCTCCCTCATTATAATCCCCTAATAGTACCTTTTACTTTGTCTACCTTTTCGTTCCATAAAATATTTCTGTAGATCTTTGACCATTTCTAAGGGTTGGTCTGGTAAGACAGTAAATGTTTGAATAAGAATGGGCGAAGCTAAACAGTTACTTTGCCAATATACGTAGTGACTAACTTTTGTCTGAAATAATCTTCCAAAATAATTTCCAAGTTAAAGTTATAAGTGATACCTAAAAGTTGGTAATTCCAATTCAAATTCCTATCTGGAATTATTTCCTCTCCACAACCCCGTTTTGCCCCAATCCAAATTGCCTGCGTTTTTTCAATGTTTAACTTAAGACCAAAAACATAACCAAAATCATGTAAAATTTCAAGAACAGAATTTAAGGAATATGGATCATCCGAGTGTCATCTGCAAATTGATTTATCAAGTATTCTGAATTATTTACTTTAATACCCTTTATATTAGAATTTACTCTTTTTGCTGAACTTAACATTTCTACGCATAGGATACAGATATATGGACTGGTAGGGTCGCCTTGTCTAACTCCACGGCATACATAACAAAAATTGGAGCAGTGTCCATTGTTTATTACACAACATGAATTCTCATTATAGAAAGTTTGTATCCATTGTAAAAGAGAAGGATCAAAGCCATCAAAAGTTTTAAAGATAAAATTTAACCCTAGAGAGTCGAAGGCTTTTTCAAAATCTATAAGTAAAAATAATCCAGGTATATTTTCTTTTTCAGTATTTTCTATTAAATCATAAATTAGCCAAGTGCATTCTGCAATATATCTACCTTTAAGGAAGCCTTTTTGTGTTTCACTTATAATACGGTTTAAAACTGTTTTAATTATATTTGAAATAACCGAAGAAAAACTTTTGTAGTCAACATTTAGTAAGGTAATAGGCCTCTAAATGTTTACATATAACTTAGATTTACCTTCTTTCGGAGTACATGCAATCATACCTTGACGCTGTGTTATGCAAAATGTAGATATAAGTCCCTCGCCATATGCTTGATTAATTGAATTAATTAAAAACCTATTGATATCTGTCAAAAGTAACTTGTAAAATTCTACAGTAAATCCATCTATTCCAGGAGATTTATTATTATTCATATTTTTTAGGGATTTAAGACATTCCTGGTAATGTATCTTTCCTTCTAACTGGTTACTTTGTTCAAGGGACAGTTTATTTATAAAGGGATTGTAATTATCAAACAAAAAGTCATTCGCTACATTATCATTTGTGTATGAGCTAGTATAGAGTGTCTGATATATTTTTTTCTGTTCTCCTAAAATGATTTGTTTATCTGTTATTTCTTCACGAGTTTCTGTTATAAGCTCTTGAATAAACTTTTCTTGATAATGTCTTTTTTTCTAAATTGCAAAAAAACTCTGAAACTCCGTTCACCTTCAACTTTTCATTTTGCTTTTGCTCTCAAAAGAACTCCTTTAATTTTACTGTCTTTAATCAACTTAAACTCATTTTCTACTTCTTCAATAGTCCCCAACTGCCTATTTTCTATTTTTATTTGTATTTTTTCCAGTTTTAATTTTAGATCATTTGGTACTTCATCTCTTTCCTGTTGATGAGTAAGCAATAGTTTTCCGTCCAATCATTAATTTTAAAGTCTCCCATAGCAATTTATCACTTATTGAAAAGGTACATGTAAGGTTTATATCTTCCTCTTCAGGATTAGTAGCATATATATATGCATAACATCTCCAATACATGTTATTACAAGATCAACATAAACCAGATCATGTAACAAACTATTATTAAACTTTTATGTTCCCTTTCCCTTTGGCTGGTCAAAATATTTCATAGATAAAGAAATTGGGGAGTGATCCGACCTATAACTTGCACAAATATCGGTTTTACATATACAGGGATTTAAATATGAAAATATTGAAAAATAATCTATTCTATATTGTTTTCTCTGTGGGCCATGCCATGTAAAAAAAATCTTATCGTGATTTTGCTCTCTCCATATATCGACTTAATCCAATTTTTCCATTTTTGATATAATTTCCTTTTGATTAGCTTCATTATTCCTCTTAACGTCATACTTTGTGTCTTCTGCATAACTCTGTGGTGCATTCCAGTCACCCCCTAAAAATACAATGTATTTTTTACTTAACTGTAATTGATTCGATAAAAAATGATAAAAAAATAATATCTGTTTTATTTGGACCATAAACTGCTACAAGTGTCAAATTTCTATTGCATGAAGTGATATTGATATCTGAGATAATAGTATTGCCTGTTTTGTCCCTAAATATTGATTATAGTTTATAAATGAAAGTATTATTTCTAAACGTTTTCTTCAGGTTGGTAAGTATGAGTTATGAGAAGTTCCTTTTACACAACCAGTAAAATGTTCTATGTAACGTTTCGATGACTAGTACGATATGTACACTATCACCTTCACCAGACAAATGACCGATGAAGCGTATACACACAAAGGTGTAAAATGTGTACGAGTTGTCTATAACATCGATGTCGATTTCGGCTACGCTGTCCATTGGTCATTTGTCTGATGTCACCCCCGACTGTTTGATGTATAAGAATTAAACCATGCTTCGTATCCCCATTCAAATTTCAAATGGCCTTCTGCTTCCTTCTTTGAATGTGTATCAATAAAAAAAACCTGATATTTACTTTTATATTTTTCAAAAATGTCCCTTCTCTATTTAGGATCAGAAGATTTGGGTATACTTACTTTACTCTTGTTAGATGTTTCAATAGCGATTAGATATGTTGTTGGTGTGGTTGACTAGATTAGATATGTTGTTGTTGTGTTTGACTAGATTAGATATGTTTTTGTTGTGTTTGACTAGATTAGATATGTTGTTGTTGTGTTTGACTAGATTAAATATGTTGTTGTTGCTGTGTTTTACTTATTTAGCCACTTAGTGACAGTGCATTGCTTTTTTCAAATAAATTTTACCGAATAAACGCGGCCTAAGAATATGGCATTTCAACCGAATCTCAGTGTTGGTAATGGGTTTTAAATACAGTAAAACCTGTCTAAACAGGCCCCTTATTATCCGGATCCCTATCTAAATCGGATGTAATTTGTGGTCTCGGCATATTTCCTATATAATCATAGTAGTTGAACACTGTATAAGCCGGACCCTGTCTATTCCGAAAACCAAAGTTAGCAAAGTACTAATGTAAAAACAACCTGCTCATTCCGGTCCTTACATTTCTCTCGACCGGCTACAATCTAAAGCAAACAACTTCTAAACAAATGAGCGCTATCCAATGTTTGGTCGACTTTCATAGGTTTTATATACTGTATATGTTGTTAATAATTAAACGTTGTAATTGATTCATTTATCTGTAGTTTTGTTGACAAACTTGTATACAGATCGTATACATAACTCTCCAAATGATTAATACTGTCACAATGTCTGATCTCATTATAATTGTCCTGCAACATAGTGACGTGGGCTGTTTAAATGAATGAGGGCGAGATATTCAAGGCCACGGGGTCAATATGAACTCTGTATTGCCATGAGTTGTAAAAAAAATGGTAGTTTTCATTTAGGTATTTCATTTTGCAAGGTTCTATTTTTTCCTGTATGAATAAACCTGAGTTATTCTCATGGTCGTCAGGGTCATATCAATTGACTTCCAATAGCTTCTAATGAAGTATTATACTTATCAGAAAAGTATTAAGTGTAACATTTAATAACACATGCTATAATTATGAAAAGAGTGTATGTTCGAACGTTTGTAAAGCTATGTCTACCACACATAATTGTGTAGTATTTGTTTTTAAAAACGGTTTTGTTTAGGGTAGCAGTCAACAAAGTTGTAGTCTTACTAAAATGTGTTATCAGTTAGAAGTAAAATATTCTACTTTTAAAAATAAGACATTGCTGTTTCTATGTTACATTTACAGGATCTGTGACGTATCACTGAGATGTCTGATCAGGGTGAGCTGTACGAGAAGTGTTGGCTTCTGTATCACATCCTAGACAGGTCTATAGGGAGCCGGGAGACAGTGGCTGTCAGGAGGAGATCAGTAGTGGTGGCGGAACAACTACAAAATGCTAGAGGAAGTATACACGATTTTTTTTTAACGGGAAGTAGGGCAGAAGGATTGGGTTTACTGGAATCGGACAATGATTGGATGTTTATTGACAAAAATGTTGTAGTTTTGTGTCGAGATCAAGATATCAGTAATCAACTCGAAACCGCAAATAAATTAGTTTTAATGATGAGAAAGGCTGAAAGCCGACCTGGTTATGTAAACCTGGAAGTACTTCACAAGGTACATTCTGATCCATCTATTGTTGCAGTAGGTGATTCACAATTCATATCAAGTGAAAAATACAAACGGACACATGCTGATATAGCGAGTCGTATCTTACAGTTAGATACGGAGGTTCATGGCCCAGCAGTTAAAACAAAGTTTGAATACAGTGACAAACCATCGGAAATGGATATTGTATTTTCCTTTCCTTGTTATGATTGGCCAAGTGAAGCTAATGAGTGGATGTATAGGTCACGCCTTCATGACTGGCCAGATAAAAAGTTGATAGAACAGATAGTACAAGGTGGCTGTCATCTAATCCCTGTAGGGGATAAAACGTCTCCTGCTGACCAATCCCTACAGTGGAGGATATCATTCACGACTGCGGAAAGGAAACTTTTTCATTCTTTAACTCATGTCCAGTTTTTAGTATATGGACTTCTTAAGTACTTTCTGAAACAGATATCTAAAGAGTTGGAAAAAATTTATGGTGAAGCAGATATTCTGTCTTCGTATATTATAAAAACAATTGTATTATATGCAGCAGAAGGAACAAGTGAATCATTTTGGCAAGAAAAACATACGTTTCTATGTTTCATGTTTTGTTTGAAGATTTTGATCAATTGGGTGAAAGCAGGATACTGTCCAAATTACTTTATTAGGAAAAATAATATGTTCCTTGGCAAAGTTCATGGCCAAAATCAACAGAAACTTCTTCGTTATCTCACTGCCCTCCATGATATGAACTGGAATTGTCTTTCAGTTGGATCAGGCATACAAACAACCATAGGAGAGGGTATCCGTAGGGTGAGGAATGGAGTATGGGATTATGCTCTACCTCCACCAACACATTCAGAACGTGACCGTGACGAAACAATGTTAAGCAGTGGAGTATTTCGTTTTATCAACAATTCTCCTGATATTATCTCGTCGTTGGAACAACTTTCAGCATCAACGTCGGACATAGATGAATTCATAGGCTACTGCGCTACTGGTCAGTCACTATCTTGTGAAGGGATGAAGATATTCGGTGAACACATCAATGCTAGAGGAAATAAAGAGAAGTACAAATCTCTTAGGAAATGCAAGAACCTACTAAGACCATTTTCAACAATGTTTTCAAGTCCAGGCCTTCTTTATTTGGCAACATATCACTATAAGACTGGGAACTACACAAAGACACTGGAAATATGTGATCACATGACGTCTTCATCCAAAATTTATCTTGATGGTATCATAGACTGGACGGAGGATTGGGACAGGTATGAACAGCGCTATTGTGGACGTGGGTACAACCTACTGCAAAAATGTCAGGCATTTGTAACAGATATGACGTTCGATCCTCACACTTTGCAGTTCTGTCCAGTCCAATTACAACAGGTGATCACAAGTAAACGTGAAATGTTTCCACCACACCTGCTACAGTCCTGCCCACAGTTACCACAGGTGTTGAAATATTTCTGTGACAAAATTCCATTCTTAGTTCCACCCCTCCCTTACGCTGTGTTCCTGTCTTTTCTGTGTTACCATGAACTGGGGGACACTAGGAGACGTGACAGAGCATTGATTAAACTTCGGTACGTAAAGTATGACTTGAGACAGGGAGTCGGTGATCACTGGATAGTACACAATATCTTGGGGATCTGCTATGAAATGGATGGAGACACACATAGGGCTCTCAGGGAATATAGGAACTCTCAGTGTCTGAACCCTGCCAGGGAGTTGATAGAGCGTTTACAACAGTTAAATTAAAGGCAATTAGACGACAATCAATGTAATCATTGTACATCTGGCCAGTATTTAAGGTATACACCATAACATTCAGGAACTTCACAGTTCTGCCTACACCAGTTACATCTGCAGATAGAATATCGTTCTGACCAAATTCAATTCCCAGATGCATCCCTCCCTTACGCGTGTTCCTGTATTTTCTATGTTACCATGAGCTTGGAGACAACAGGAGACGTGCAACAGCATTGATTACTCTTCGGGCCGTGAAATATAATGAGAGATTGAGAGTTGGTCAGCACGGGATAGTACACAACCTCTTGGAGACAATCAAAGTTATACTTGTACATCGGCCAGTATTTAAGTTATACATACTAGCATGATACTAAACATGTGTATAGATTTTTATAGATATGGTTGAGTTATCTTAGTATGAATATCAACCTATCCCCCAAAAACAAAAACAAAAGATAAAAATAACTGTGACTTTGATCATCAAACATTTCAGTTGGGTGGGGTTACTATCATCACACAGTTGGGTGGGGGTACTGTCATCACACAGTTGGGTGGGGGTACTGTTATCACACAGTTGGGTGGGGGTACTGTTATCACACAGTTGGGTGGGGGTACTGTCATCACACAGTTGGGTGGGGGTAATGTTATCACACAGTTGGGTGGGGGTACTGTTATCACACAGTTGGGTGGGGGTACTGTCATCACACAGTTGGGCGTGGGTAATGTCATCACACAGTTGGATTGGGAAAGTCATCACACAGTTGGGTGGGGGTACTGTTATCACACAGTTGGGTGGGGGTACTGTTATCACACAATTGGGTGGGGGTACTGTTATCACACAGTTGGGTGGGGTTACTGCTATCACACAGTTGGGTGGGAGTAATGTTATCACACCATTGGGTGGGGTCACTGTTATCACACAGTTGGGTGGGGGTACTGTTATCACACAATTGGGTGGGGGTACTGTTATCACACAGTTGGGTGGGGGTACTGTTATCACACAGTTGGGTGGGGGTACTGTTATCACACAGTTGGGTGGGGGTACTGTTATCACACAGTTGGGTGGGGGTACTGTTATCACACAGTTGGGTGGGGGTACTGTTATCACACAGTTGGGTGGGGGTACTGTTATCACACAGTTGGGTGGGGGTACTGTTATCACACAGTTGGGTGGGGGTACTGTTATCACACAGTTGGGTGGGGGTACTGTTATCACACAGTTGGGTGGGGGTACTGTTATCACACAGTTGGGTGGGGGTACTGTTATCACACAGTTGGGTGGGGGTACTGTTATCACACAGTTGGGTGGGGGTACTGTTATCACACAGTTGGGTGGGGGTACTGTTATCACACAGTTGGGTGGGGGTACTGTTATCACACAGTTGGGTGGGGGTACTGTTATCACACAGTTGGGTGGGGGTACTGTTATCACACAGTTGGGTGGGGGTACTGTTATCACACAGTTGGGTGGGGGTACTGTTATCACACAGTTGGGTGGGGGTACTGTTATCACACAGTTGGGTGGGGGTACTGTTATCACACAGTTGGGTGGGGGTACTGTTATCACACAGTTGGGTGGGGGTACTGTTATCACACAGTTGGGTGGGGGTACTGTTATCACACAGTTGGGTGGGGGTACTGTTATCACACAGTTGGGTGGGGGTACTGTTATCACACAGTTGGGTGGGGGTACTGTTATCACACAGTTGGGTGGGGGTACTGTTATCACACAGTTGGGTGGGGGTACTGTTATCACACAGTTGGGTTGGGGTACTTTTATCACAAAGTTGGGTGGGGGTATTGCCATCACACAGTTGGGTGGGTGTACTGTTATCACACAGTTGGGTGGGGATACTGTCATCACACAGTTGGGTTGGGTTACTGTTATCACACAGTTGGGTGGGGGTACTTTTATCACAAAGTTGGGTGGGGGTATTGCCATCACACAGTTGGGTGGGGGTACTGTTATCACACAGTTGGGTTGGGGTACTGTTATCACACAGTTTGGTGGGGATACTTTTATCACACAGTTGGGTTGGGGTACTGTCATCACACAGTTGGGTGGGGGAACTGTTATCACACTGATGAGTGGGGGTACTGTTATAACACAGTTGGGTGGGGGTACTGTTATCACACAGTTGGGTGGGGGTAATGTTATCACAAAATTGGGTGGGGGTACTGTTATCACACATTGGGGTGGTGGTACTGTTATCACACAGTTGGGTGGGTGTACTGCTATCACACAGTTGGGTGGGGGTAATGTTATCACACTGTTGGGTGGGGGTACTGTTATCACACACTTGGGTGGGGGTACTGTTATCACACAGTTTGGTGGGGATACTTTTATCACACAGTTGGGTGGGGGTACTTTTATCACAAAGTTGGGCGGGGGTATTGCCATCACACAGTTGGGTGGGGGTACTGCTATCACACAGTTGAGTGGGGGGACTGTTATCACACAGTTGGGTGGGGGAATTGTTATCACACTGTTGAGTGGGGGTACTGTTATCACACAGTTTGGTGGGGGTAATGTTATCACACTGTTGGCTGGGCTACTGTTATCACACATTTGGGTGGGGGTACTGCTATCCCACAGTTGGGTGGGGGAATTGTTATCACACTGTTGAGTGGGGGTACTGTTATAACACAGTTGGTGGTGGTACTGTTATCACACAGTTGGGTGGGGGAATTGTTATCACACTGTTGGGTGGGGGTACTGTTATAACACAGTTGGTGGTGGTACTGTTATCACACAGTTGGGTGGGTGTACTGCTATCACACAGTTGGGTGGGGGGACTGTAAGCACACAGTTTGGTATGGCTAATAGTATCACACAGTTTGGTGGGGGTACTGCTATCACACATTTGCGTGGGGGTACTGTTATCACACAGTTTGGGGGGGGTAATGTTATCACACTGTTGGCTGGGCTACTGTTATCACACATTTGGGTGGGGGGACTGCTATCACACAGTTGGGTGGGGGGACTGTTATCACACTGATGAGGGGGGGGACTGTTATAACACAGTTGGGTGGGGGTACTGTTAGCACACAGTTGGGTGGGGGAATTGTTATCACACTGTTGAGTGGGGGTACTGTTATCACACAGCTGGGTGGGGGTACTGTAAGCACACAGTTTGGTATCGGTAATAGTATCACACAGTTTGGTGGGGGTACTGCTATCACACATTGGAGTGGGGGTACTGTTATCACACAGTTTGGTGGGGATACTTTTATCACACAGTTGGGTGGGGGTACTGTTATCACACAGTTGGGTGGGGGTACTGTCATCACACTTAAGACTGATTTAGTTAAACTTTGGTTCAAAACTTGGACAGGTTTTATATTTCACAGCAGTGATCCCTTAACTATGTGTTTTCCAGTAGGCTATCATCATTTAATTCAAGGGAAACCTATCAATTTCAGAAACTAATCTTAACCTTAGTTATGCATACTTACATGGATAATTTTAAATTGAGAAGAGTTTTATGAATATCTTGCTTTTTTATCAGATGAGCTGAATGACCCGGAATTAAATTCCATATCACGGGACACATTGTATTTCTTGTTACTGATAGTAAGGGTTTTTCATTAATAACTGTTTAGTAAGATATGGACGTACAGGTAAACATAACTTGTTACTGATAGTAAGGGTTTCTCATTAATGACTGTTTAGTAAGATATGGACGTAAAGGTATACACAGCTTGTTACTGATAGTAAGAGTGTCTCATTAATGACTGTTTAGTAAGATATGGACGTACAGGTAAACATAACTTGTTACTGATAGTAAGGGTTTCTCATTAATAACTGTTTAGTAAGATATGGACGTACAGGTAAACACAGCTTGTTACTGATAGTAAGGGTGTCTCATTAATGACTGTTTAGTAAGATATGGACGTACAGGTAAACACAGCTTATTATTGCTGACGGGTTACTTTAGTAAAACGTTAGTTTTATATAAAAGTGGTATGTTGTTCAAAATGACCGACTTGAATGTTAACGAGGTATGTAAATAATCAAACTCATATCATTAACAAAATGAGTTGTTTCAATGATATGAGCTTGATTCTTTACAGGGTGTTTAGTGGATTACTTGATAACCCCATCTGCCCTGAAAGCAGCACAAAAACGCACTGCAGTTTCCGAACCGCAGTATTGAAATGTTCTCAATTTTCTGATTTCACGTAATTAATGTTCCATTTGGACGTCCCGCACCTGAAAATAAAATGTTTTTTAGAAGAAAAAACAACCCCTGACCTGGCCAGTTCTGTTATATAGTAAAGGAGCGATGATAGGAGAGTGTATATACTATGAGCAGAAATAGCATAAGGTATGAACATGTATGTGTATGCATATATTAGATATATGTTAGTTTCATATGTATGATCATATACATGTTTGTTCATTGAACAGGTATGTTCATTGTTCGTGTATTTTCGTTGTACAGATATGTTCATGTTTTAAGTAAACTCATTTGTACTGTCTCGTCAGTGTATATGTATGTTCTGTGCTAACGCATACTCATTGTACCTGTATGATCGTCGTACAGATATGATCATTATACATATATGTTTGTCCATTGCACTTGCATTCTCATTGCTCCTGTACTTTCATCATGAACGAATATGTGCAACGAAACACATGCCCAATGAACATACATAAACAATAAGCGAACAGTTACAATGATCCTACATTACAATGATCATACACGTACAAGTTACATACATGTACAATTAGCGTTAATGTATGATGAACAGACCTGTAAAATTAGTGTAAATATACAATAAGCATACATGTACAATGATCATACATGTACAGTGAGCATACAAGTACAATGACCATACATGTATATTAAAGATACAAGTACAACAAGTATGCATGTATAATGAGCATACATGTACAATGAACATACATGTACAGTGAGTATACATGTAGAATTCACATACATGTACAGTGAGTATACATGTACAATGATCATACATGTACAATAAACATACACCAACAATTAGTGAACAGTCACAATGAACATACAATACAATGATCATACACGTACAAGGATCATACATGTACAGTGCGCATACATGTACACTTAATATACATTTACAGTGACCATAAATGTACAATGATCATATATGTACAGTGAGCAAACATGTTCAAAGAGCATATATGTACAATGAGCATACATGTACAATAAAGATCCAAGTACTACAATGATACATGTACAATGAGCATACATGTAAAGTAAGGATACACACATATAAAATTGAACATAAATGCATGATTAGCTTAAATGTACAATAATCATACATGTACAGTGAGCATATATGTACAGTGAATATGCATGTACAGTGCACATACATGTACAATCATACATGTGAAATGAACATTCGTGTATAATTAACATACAGGTATTATTAGCATAACTGTATAAAAATCATACATGTACTGTGAAGATTCATGTACAGAGAGCATACATGTACAATGACATATATTTACAGTATTCACACATGTACAACGAACATAGATGTGCAGAGTGCATACATTTACAATTAACATAAAGTCAGTGAGCATACATGTAAAGTGAGCATATATGTACAATGAAAATACATGTATAATGAACAAACATGTACAATAACCATACATGTACAATTAACATACATTTACAATGAGCATACAAGTATAATGAACATACATGTACATTGAACATACATGTACAGTGAACATTCATGTACAATTAACATACATTCACAATGAGCAAACAAGTATAATGAACATACATGTACAGTAAGTATGCATGTACAATAACCATACATGTACAGTGAGGATACATTAACTATGAACATGCATGTACAATGAACATACATGTACAATGAACATACATGTAGAGTGAGCATACATGTACAGTGAGCATACATGTACAATGATCATACATGAACAATGAACATGCATGTACAATGAACATAGATGTACAGTGAGCATACATCTAGAATGAAAATACATGTACAATGAACATACATGTACAATGAGCATACATGTACAATGAACATGCATTTACAATGAACATACCTGTAAAGTGAGTATACATGTACAATGAGCGTACATGAACAATGAACATGCATGTACAATTAACATTCATGTACAATTAACATACATTCACAATGTGCAAACAAGTATAATGAACATACATGTACAGTAAGTATGCATGTACAATAACCATACATGTACAGTGAGGATACATTAACTATGAACATGCATGTACAATGAACATACATGTGGAGTGAGCATTCATGTACAGTGAGCATACATGTACAATGAGCTTACATGTACAATGAACATGCATGTACAATGAACATACCTGTACAGTGAAGATACATTTACAATGAACATGCATGTACAATAACCATACCTGTACAGTGAAGATACATTTACAATGAACATGCATGTACAAATAACATACATGTAGAGTTAGCATACATGTACAGTGAGCATACATGTACAATGAACATGCATGTACAATTAACATACATGTACAGTAAGCATACATGTAAAATGAACATATATGTGTAATGAACATTCATGTATACTCATAATACATGTATGTTCATTACACATATATGTTCATTTTACATGTATGCTTACTGTACATGTATGTTAATTGTACATGCATGTTCATTGTTCATGTACGCTCATTGTACATGTATTCTCACTGTACATGAATGCTCACTCCACATGTATGTTCATTGTACATGTATTATGAGTATACATGTATATGTACAGTGAATATGCATGTATGTTCATTGTACATGTATTATGAGTATACATGTATATGTACAGTGAATATGCATGTATGTTCATTGTACATGTATAATCACAATACATGCATGTTCATTGTACATGCATGTTCATTGTAAATGTATCTTCACTATACAGGTATGTTCATTGTACATGCATGTTCATAGTTAATGTATCCTCACTGTACATGTATGGTTATTGTACATGCATGTTGATTGTAAATGTATCTTCACTGTACAGGTATGTTAATTGTACATGCATGTTCATTGTAGATGTATGCTCATTATCAATTCTTGCTCCCTGTGAATGTATGTTCATTATACATGTATGTTCAATATACACGTATGCTCACTGTACATGTATGTTTATTTTACATGTATACTCACTATACATGTATGTTCATTGTACATGTATTATGAGTATACATGTACAATGAACATACATGTAGAATGATTATACATGTACCATGAGCTTACATGTACAATGAACATGCATATACAATGAACATGCATGTACAATAACCATACATGTTCAGTGAGGATACATTAACTATGAACATGCATGTATTGTAAGGTTACATGTACAATGAAAATACATATTCAGTGAGCATACATGGACAATGATCATGCATACATAATGAACATACATTCACAGTGAGCATACATTCGCAATGAGCATCATACATGTATAGTGATGAACATACATGTAAAGTGAGGATACATGTATAATAAACATCAATTTACAGTCAGCATTCATGTACAGTGAGCATACAGTTAAAAGGAACATACATGTTCAGTGAGCATACATGAAAAGTGAGCATATATGTACAATGAAAATAAATGTACAATGAACATATATGTAACATGTATGTGTATGCATATATTAGATATATGTTAGTTTCATATGATCATACATATGAAACTAACATATATCTAATATATGCATAAGGGATGAACATGTATGTGTATGCATATATTAGATATATGTTAGTTTCATATGTATGATCATATGAAACTAACATATATCTAATATATGCATACACATACATGTTCATACCTTATGCTATTTCTGATGTATGTTCATTGTTCATGTATACTCACTATACGTGTATGTTCATTGTATATGTATGATCATTGTACGTGTATGCGCATTAGACATGCTTGCTCACTGTGAATGTATGTTGTACATGTACGCTCACTGTGAATTTATGTTCATTATACATGTAGGTTCATTGTACATATGTTTCCTCACTGTACATGTACGCTCACTGTGAATTTATGTTCATTACACATATATGTTCATTTTACATGCATGTTCACTCTACATGTATGTTCACTGTACATGCATGTTCATTGTATATGTATGCTCATTGTACATGTATCCTCACTTTACATGTATGCTCAATACATGTATTTTTATTGTACATACATGTATAATGAACATAAATTCACAGTGAGCGTACATGTGCAATGAACATGTGAGTATACATGTACAATTA